TGTTGATCTCAACCTAGAAATCTCTGACGTGATTGTAGCAGTACTGGGTGTTAAAGTGACATAGAGCTAGATGTCATCTGCATTGGCTGGCCTTTAATAATCTTTGTTTCAACGTCTATCTTTTTGATGAGGTGAGTGGAAAAAAGATGAGCCTGTTTCCCCAAGGGACCTGCAAGTATTGGTATAAAATAATAGAACAAGCTCCCTGGATGGGACCTGTGAATTACTAAAAACAACTCAAACAGGAATCTGTTTATACCATCGTATAAACTGCAGATAATGGCTTGGCAATCAGGCACATCAATCTGACCTTATGGACTGACTATAGTAAGTTTTAGAACTCCTAATAGGAGTTTAGAAAGTACAATTTAATTATGCCATATTGTGTCTGACAACTCTTCTCTCTATTCAATAGATGATCCAGATCACCAGGGTCATAGTGCAAACATTTATTCTTAGGAATAATTGTAATATTTGCTGTGTCCTGAGTCTCTGCGAAGGCAGTGGACATTTTCTGCAATGTTAGAAGTCGTTTCTGGTTTGCTTCTTTAAGAGAGATTTCTTTCCCTCCTTTGTCTTCTGATAATTAACAGAACATCATTTGTTCTGCAGTGGGAGATGAGGTTCTCCATCGAAGGTCAAGGACTTGAGCAAGGTGCTGTCTGGGGCTTTAAAAAACTATCCTATATATATATGTATATTCCAAAGGAACATGGATGGGTTTGAAAAAAGAAAAACTAAAATAAATGGCAAGAACACATCAGCGTGCACTGGCCTAATCATCTATTCCCAGCTTAATCAAGGTGTGCCATTTAGCTAAAACACCTTTTTTAGAGGAAGCTTTCCTTTCTTCTCGCTTTCTGACATCCACTCTCTCCCATCGCGTACCGAAGTGGAAACCTGTGATGAATCTTTGGATAATGGACTGTTGCTTTGACAAACTACTCTAGTGAAGCACGTGCCTGTCTTGGCGACAATAATAGCAAAGTGCGGATTTTGTGGAAGAAATAGAGGCTTTGAGGGCTACAGCACCAGACTCTGAGTCTATAAATTGCTGGACTGGGATGTTAGATGCCTTTTAATATTTTCAAACATCCAGTAGAGTAATGAAAGAACTGTAGGACTATCCTGATGTAAGACCTCGGGAGAGTTGTTTTCAGAGATCATTGGAGCTCACAACTTGTTTAAGAACATGAAGTCCTATCCAAGTAATAGCTGGAAATAAGTTGCTTGATTTTTCTCTCCCCAAAGACAAATTCTTGTAATAGCAAAAGTGTAAAATCCAACAAAGAGAGGTTTGATACTTTCAGATGCTCCAGCCACTTCGTAGTGGAAAAAAAGGCATACAGACAGTGAAACTATTTGGGGTAAATAATGAGGACAGGCTTCTCAGAAATAAACTGGCATGGATTTGGCCATGAGATGTCAGATTCATAACTTGGGAAATGAAAGCCTCTATATACTAGAGAGCAGGCCCTAGCCCAGCAGTGGCAATTCAGCCTTCTGAGCCACAGGGATTTCTTTATAAGCAGTGGTATATTAAATGTGGAATCGGGTAGGCCAAAGGGACAGCAGTAAAACAGAGACAACGTGCGGTGACCAAAAATGAGCTAAAGCCAGACATTAATTACTTTGCAGTAATTTTGTTTTCCTTTAGAACTGATGAATATCACTCACTCTTGGAAGGTAAATGCTTTTCCTATCACTTAGGTTTTACATCTAATGTTTTTTGGGGTTTTTTTGTTTGTTTGTTTTTAGTTTAACTGAAGCTGGGGAGAAAGCAGTTTTTGTCTATTTATCCAATTTAGTACCTTTATCTACATAAAGATGAGAGGTGGATTTTTATACTGTGCACATCACTGGAGCAGGCTGAGGAAGAGCACTTTTAGACAGGCCTAGGTCAACAAAACAGATTCATCCATCACATCTGCCAGAACGGAAAGATAGTTGTCTTGATGCTCGGTCAATCCGAGACCTTTCTGCTGAGTCAACTGACAAGATTGCAGATATTTGTGACAATGAGGACACTTATCCACTAGTAAGTGGACTGAAGACCACCTACACATTTGGCAGTGGGTCTTCAGTTTAGGAAACTCTGAGCTCTTGAACACCAGCGTATTGCTATTTGCAGCCCTCTTCTCCCTATCAGTTGAGAATAATTACCAAAACCAAAAGCTAGAATAAGGTAAAATAACAAAAGGAAGGGATTCTGAGGTGATAATGGTGGAAGGTGTGAGAGTCAGTAGGAAGTACAGTAAAGAAACCCATGACAAGTCATGATAAATGGGTCGTTATAAAATTCATGTTTAGGCTGCACCAGTCTGGGGATAATGCCATTCGTCATGGCAACACTGGGGCACTAATGAGCCCTCATTGCATATTCATGGCTTTGGCGCCTCTCTCCTCTCTCTGCCTCCCTCCCACCCCGAACCAATGCCTGGTAAATATCTCCACCTCAAGCTGAAACTCGACTTAGGCCGCTTTTTTTTTTTTTATTTGTTATGTTGCAGCAATTACACTGTAAAAGTGCTGCACAAGATTGATTGCTCTGATCTGTAGTTCAATTGTAAATTAGAATACACATCCCCCTGGGGACACACGGCCCCTATTTGTGATTAAGAAAAAAGCCCCATAATAGACTAATAGCTAAAGTTCTCTCTCTTTTACTTTCAGGCAATTAGCTTGATGAAATGGCCTCTTTTTGTGTACCCTGGAAGTGTAAACCGATATCATAATGAAGTATATGATGTTTATTCTATTATTTTCACCTTGCCATGTATGCAGGAATGCATAAATAATGGCTGCTTTGTCTAGTACACTTACTGATTCAGAAGTAAACTATGTCTTAAAGATGCAGTGTATGATCCTGCAGCCTTATGTCAAGCTGGGCACCGTGACTGGTGCCTATAAAAACTAACGTTCTGCCCAAAGAAGTTGGAGACCGTTTTTAGTCAGGTGACTAAATACTGTTTGCAAGACACTTTCATTTATAAAGAAACGTAATTGGAAAATCCTCTTAATAGCCCTTGTGAGGAAAAATAAGGTATCTCCGTTTTACAGAAAGGAGAACTGATGGGGAGATGCCCAACACGTTACACAAACCCACACAGGACCTCGGTAAGTGCTTAAGAAATCCTGGCTCACTGAACTTTTTTCAGGCAATCAGAAGCTCCCTTTTCTCTCTCTTGTAGTGCTCATAATGCTGTCCTGGATGGTTCATGGAGTGGCTCTGACCTTAGCTTGCCTCAAAGACTTTTAAAACTCCGTGGTGTCACGGTTGCCTTCATTCCCATGTGACGTACATGGCTAAAGCTCTTTCACCTGTATCCAAGGTGGATATGGTCATGCCCGTAGTCAGTATCATGTGTTGGATGTTGGCTTTCCCAAGGCTCAATTTGAGCTGTCAGTCTGAGCAAATGAGTCATGTTGTGCAACAGCATTATAACACCGCGACGGTGTTCGTGCAGTGGAGCTCAAGATAAATATCTGGGAAGAAAACTGCCGTACGATGATAGCTCTGGGCATACCTGCTTTGCGACAAAAGGTGCTTCTACATTAGCATTTTGCTTGGGACCAGGAGTGCACTTTTGAAGTGAATCCTCCAAATGACCCTGCCTACCTTGCCCCACAATGCAAGCTGGTCCTGGAGCATGCAAACTGAATTCTTTTGCGTGAAATTAAACCAGATGATGTGGTCTGGGAGCTCCAGCAGCTAACGGGAATTCAGGCCACAGGAGCATGCTAGAGCTAGTCCAAGTAAACCTCTAACACGCAGTGACCTGGGGCTAGTCCCTGCCCTTCAGTGCACAGTGTAGACATACCTTTATTTGCCTATTTGCTAAGCAAAGCAGGGCTCCTGTCCAAGGAGTTATGAGAAGCTCGGATATTATGTCAGGGAGGGCATGTGGAATAGTCTGGAAAACCTACATGAGAAAATGCATTGGTTTATGTGTAACCCCATCAGTCCATCTGCAATAGAAATATTTTCATTTAGTTTAAATTCTGTGTGAAAGAGGTTCCGTAGGGGAATATAAAAGAGTTTGGAAACATTTTGCTAAGAAGCACTACCAGTGCAGACCTTTAAAGGGTAACACTCTGTACATGGCTACAATACCATATTCTGTTTAAACTTGTTCATCATTGTCTTCTTGCATGACAGCCCTGGCATTTAAAATATGTTAGGGGTGACACAATACTTTCACCTGGTGCAGACATATATCACTGGAAGGATGTTCTCATAAACAAAGTGCTGCAGGCTATGATCTTATCGTTCTCCTCTTCCTTCTTCTAAGTTCAGTTCAATGACAAACACGTATTTCTCTTCTTTGCTCCAGTTTCTGGTCTCAAGAAGCCTGGTGTTGGAGCAACAGGTGATGTTGCAAATCAGGAAAGACAAGTGTTGGTGGTGGCCTGGTGCAGGAAAGCAATGGAAAGGGCAGCAAGCATGCAACATATTCTTATCATGCTTCGGCTGGTGCACCAATTCTACACGGTGCTGCAATTTTACAGCATGAGCAAAAGTTTACTCACGTGCATGCCTGCACATGCACCCTTTTTTTTTTTTTTTTGAGCAAGACATAAAGCAAATTAGAGCGTTCATATGTAATTAGCTGACTATTAGTGTGGTTCAGCCAAGGCGATAGGCAGACAGTAAACTTCGAGATAGCTGGCAGATAAAAGGACTGAGGGTGTTCTGGAGAAAGCTGGAGGTAATAGTTCACAAGACAAATTCCTGACACAATGAGCAGGCATCTAAGGATATTCTTGCCCTACACCATTATCATTGCACAGTGTAGCTATAGAGGCCTTCCCTCTCCCCACTACAAAGCTTAACCCTTCCTGGCATCCAGGGCTCTTTCTCCTTGGATAGCCCACTTTTAAATTATTTAAGATTTAATCATAATTTTCTGTTCAAAACTTAAGTCTGGACTAAAACTATGAAATTTCTGCTCATGCTTCTTGCCCACTTTCTTATGACAGCATATGAAACAGAGACTATAACCCGTGTAGAGGCTGGAATACCTCCAGTTATTTATTTAAGAGTGTACATGACCAGGTCTAGTAAAAACATGATCAGTTACCATGTGTAAGCATCACACTTGGAAAGAAACCCCAAGTGTGTCCAAGCTTAAGTCTCTGCTACTTCCCTGAAAATGAGGGTATTTTACTAAATCCTTGTGCTAAATGAAAATGTCATTATATTTTTCTCTGATTTTATAGCTGGCAGGGAAGTGCCTTTTTGTGTCCTTTGGGAGTTCTCAAGATTTCATTTTTTTTCAACTAATTCTCTGGCTAACCAATAAGCTACTAAAAAAAAAAAATCAGACTGAATCATTTGCGTCAGTCATTTAAAAATATTTCATTTTTTGCTTTCACTTATAAATTAAAAATTAAAACCAAAACATATTTCAAAGCAAATAAATGTTCATTTAGAAAAATATTGGGACACTTGAAATAATTTTGAAATGTCTTTATCACCTTTTTTTCAATTGAGAAGCCTCATGAAAATCACATTGTTCCCTCCAAACTTTTTTGCCTGTTTGGGGTTTTCCAATACAAAATTTTCATGGAAATTCCCAGACATAATCAGTATCTCAGGGTGTTCTTGCTTGGGATGGCTTCTGAGGAGGAATAAGTGAGAACTTCATGCTCTGAATTGATCCAGGACCGAAAATTTCAAATACTGGTGAAATTATCCATACTTCTGAGTATCTTTTAATGTAAAAGCTTAGATTTCTCAAGGTCTATATGTATATGGCCTGTTGTCCTTTCCATTACACTCAAATTGGACTGGTCTAACGTGGTTTTGTTGAAGTAAAAATTTCTCATAGGTTTTGCACAACTTGTAGATTATTTCTTTGCCAGTGTGTAAACTCTTCAACAAGTCCTTCTGTTAGGACTCCATCCTGCAAGGAAAAGGCACACGATATATCGGAGGAAATTTTCTTCTTTTCTGTCATGCCAGACACAGAATTTACAAAACAGGCAGAAGAACTAACACTGCTGGAGTGGTTAAAACCATATTCGTTAACGAACATGCCATTTTTGCAGACCAAGGAATCATTTCTCAGCATACAATCACAACATTCAGTAAATAGCAATTCTCTAACACCCAAAGAAAATTGCCACTTCTTAATGCTCATTTGTTCAAGGCTTACATAGGCATTTGCCATGAACAAAAGTTGGAGTAAATTCTCTCAAGAAGAAATGTTGAATCAAGAGTGCAAGACTGTTTGATGTTTTGGTTCATCTTGAAGAAAGGAACCTTCTGCTGTAGATCTCAAGTGATGCTCAAGAGGAGGAACAGCACGTACGAGGAGGAGAGCCAGCATGCCGGTGGCCAAGAGCCTACCACTAGAGATAAAACCTGGGGACCATGTCAAGGTAAGGGCCCTCATGAGCCACTCAGCAAATGCTTTCCTCACAGCTCTTGCTGCCCTGCTTACCTTCTTCCCAAGGCCCATCCTGTTCGTTTTCCTCATCCCACTCTGCAGAATGACAAGAAAACCTGAGGTTTTTTACAGGTTTCTGGAGACAGGAGGAAGCTGTGTCTTGCCTAGAAGTAGCTGTGTTAGACCAAAGATCCACCTAGCCTCTTACCCTGCCTGTGGCAGAAACATCTAGCAGATATACAGAAAAAAGTCAGAAGCCAAACACAAACTAATTCTTCTGCTGATGTGTCTTCCTTGTTCCTATCACTCAGTGGGTTACAGAGACTGACAGTAGAAGTTGCATAAAACAAGAGTGTTTAATGGTATGAAAGGAACTGTCTTCAGTGAATTTTTAGCCCTTTTTTAATCTGATTATATTTTTGGTATTCTGTGGCAGAAAGTCCCACCATTTAATCATGCTGCATAACAAATATAAAGCTTTGTTCAATTTAAACCTCTTTTCCTCCTTGTACTAACGTAGCAAATAGATATTTTCCTCTTCAGAATGTTCTTCGTAACATTTGTCATTGTATAAACCTCAGCCATCTCCTTTCAAAGTTATAAATTTATCTACTTTGCCCTTGCTTGGAAGCAGATACGTATGATTACCCACAAGACAACTGCTATCAAGCTCAGCTGTTGTTACTGAGACTGAAACTCTTCCAAAAATTAATTTATTTAAGATAATCCTAACGGTGCAAATATCCAAAGATCAGGCAGATCTATAAAACCTGCCCGCAGCAAAATCATGCAATTAGAATCATGCTCATAAGTGTTGGAGTCTTAAAACATTAATAGATCATTTTAATGGAAGGAGTTATTAAAATTGTATTTGATTTGCATTATTACAACACTGAATGCACTATGGAAAACTAAGTTCATGAGAGAAGTACAGCACAAAACAGATTCTTATTATCTGAGTTAGAACTTAAAAAATAGACCATGCTTGAATTTTTTTTAGTTTTACTTTTCTTCTAAATTGATAAGAACTCCTGGATTTATATTAGAAATAGAAAATGAGGAGGAGGATAAGAAAATAGCTGGAGATTGAAATAAAGCCTCAGAGAAGTAATTTGAGGAGCAAAAAATCTTTCCCAATGTACGTATTTTTTATCATATGAGATGCATTGTTCTCATCATAAGCACAATCAAAAATCCCATGAATTGCAGAGTTTCTGTAGATTATTTGGGAAAAAGTTGCCCCAAATGTGGAAGCAATTATAAAGAAATTCATGACTCGTTAGTAAGCTTTCCTTGTTTTATTTCTGTTACAAGTAGACTGTAATTTCAGGATCTCTATCTGACATCTTTTCTATTGGGCACTTACCCTCCCTGATATGTTTATAAAATTCCCCATTTCGTTAGTGGGACAGCAAATCTGATGTACAAACATATTCCTTAATCCAGCAGAAAGCAGACTTTGTTGGAGTCAATAGGATCATTTCCATCGTTTCCAACAGATTTAGGAATAAACCTGCAAGGGTTAAAAAACATATATAGCCACAATCACAAAGGGGAGGAAGGAATACAGTGAATTTGCTCTGCAACTGAGATATTTTTAGTTTTGTATTCTTTGGGATCCCTGTAAAGGTATGTCCCTCATGCACAGTTGTTGAAAATAGCCTTTAGGCGTTTAGACTTGAGGTGATTTAAGCCAACGCAGAAGTGTGCTCTTAATTTTTCAGGGCAGCACAAATGTGCAAAAATGGTGTCTTCGTGTTCACAAGCTCCTTATCATTTAGAAGAACTGTGCCAATAAATTAAACAAAGGAGAGTATTTCTACTAAAAATAGAAAGCGTCCTGTAGAAAAAATATGCTCTATCTTCTGAACTTAAAATATAGTTTGAAATTCAATGATCAGACCCTTAGCAGGTGTAAATCATCACAGAAATGATACTGTAACACTGTACATGATATTACCAAATTGTCTTGCTGGTAATTAAGAATATCCTCTACAGAATAAGGACCAATGACAAAAGAAAGTATAAGTTGATATTGTCTCAGCACGCATAAGTGGTAGACAGAAATATTCATGTGCATAATCTTACACCTTTCCTACATGATACCCAGTGGGCTAAAGTAATAGCATACAGAATTATCTTGGAAAAGGCAATTCTCACCAGAAACTAAAAATCGTATGAGTTGTCTGTAAGTTTCTCATAATTATACATAGCAAAAATGAAAATAAAACTAACAGGCATGCACTTGCAAAATTTTTCTTTAGAAATGTGCATTTAAACTTTCTTTAAAAATCCACAGCATATTATACTGCAGTGTTTTTTCAAGCCCGAGTTTTCTGTATTTCATCCCAAGAAAATCAGTATCTCTTCTTTTTCCCTATTTCTTTTCATGGGTTTATTATGTCTATATTATACAGCCCAGGGAAACAAATGTAATTTCTATTAGAAAGGTAATGAAGTCAGTGTGATGAAACATGACAAACTTTTGCTCTGAATTTCTGGTGTAAGTTCCAGGGGAAAAGGACACCTCTTCGTGCAATAACCACTACCATGAAGAGCTGTACAAGCCCTGCTGTCTGCTACAGCACAGTTCCTTTAACATACCCAAATAAAACCAAATCCGGATGCTTCAGTGTAAGGCAGTCTCCTGATTTCAACATCTGCACAGTCCAAGCAGGGATACATTGAATACCAGTAACTTTCTGAAGCTCCTTTAACCTGTTGGTATCCTGACTTCTCTTGTATCATGTAACTTGGAGAAGCGCCCTTTTTCCTTATTACTAAAGAGCATACAAGCGTCCACATATGAAGACTACCAAAATTCTGCAACCTTCTCACTAAATGAGAAGCACAGACTGTTTCTTACGTGTGGACCCCAGTGAACTCATCACGTTTTGTGCACATTGGAGCTTTGCGAATCTCCAGAGTTTTGTGTTTAGCAAAGCAGATGTGCAAATGGAGATCCTGGTGACCTCACCTCTGAGAATCAGGCCTTTGACATACATTACTCTCCTGCTGACAGCAAGAGAAGTGTGGATCAGTTGGCGTTTCACACCTGCAACTAATGTAGAAGTTGTAATGATATAAGTGAGCATTAGGAATTGAAGCGATGCTTTGGACACAAACCAGCTATATTTAACAGGAAAGGTGCAAATCCACATTATGACTCAGGATATGTATGAGCTGCAGCCCTTCTTTAACCTGGAAAGGAAGAATTATATCCAAGGGAACTTGATGTGAAGTGGCAGAAGTGATGTTTATGCTAAAATTGGCCATTGGTTTTTTCTGTAGTTTGGGAATATACAATTTAGTTGATACAGCTTCAGCTGATAGGCCAATCTCAGTTCAAGATCCTGATCTACTACAAATTCCACTTCACAATCAATAGAGGAATGAACTTGGAGAAGAGCTGAGGACCTTGCCTGATTCTTTGGCCTGGACTGAGCTGACCTGGTGAGATCTTGCTGAACATCCTTGTGTTTTCCAACTGCCCTCTGCCTTGGGATATCTGTGCCTCCAGAGAGGCTCCTGGGGCCAGGAATTATAACAGACCTTTACCCACTACTTTCTTGTTGGTAACAGATGCTCTGCATTGCTCCTTGGGCCATTTGGACTTCTCCTAATTCTGCAGTATGTGTTATCCTACAATACCCATCACTGCTCAGGGCTCTCTTCACTACAACAGATCTATCAGCTGCAGAGTAGATGGGGTTGGATGTGTTTGTCTGCTGCCTCATCTTAGGAGTAGCAAAACTTGTGACTGGGTAGAAAGGCACCATCATCCTTTATACCAGTTTGCTTTAACCCTAAAAATTCATCTCCACTTAATGATTTTTGGAGGTTTCTTTGTCAATGTCTAACAGGTGGCTGCTCTGGTGCCTCCCTCCCTACAGTCTGATGCATCATGGCTTCCTTCCTTGGCTGAAAAATGTCACAGAGGGAAATGAGCAGTTTTGGCTCCTCCTGCCAAGCGTACATGGTGGGAATGGGTCGTACCAGCACATCTCTCCTCAAAAAGTCAGGGGATGCTACCCCCACCAGAACGGGCCCCTCAGCAGTTACGTGACATTCAGCTTGAGAAAGGAAACCGGTTTGTCACCTCATTGCTTAATGGTGTGATCTCAGGCCAGAGTTGAGGTGTACCTCTGGGCAGAAGAGATAAGATTACATTATTAACACTATACTCATCACGTTCTGAAGATTTTCTAGTTTCCAGCCTCAGAATGTGATACAGCGTTAAAAATGTGGTGGGATTCTCAGTTAAAGAAACACAAATTTATAGGTTCTTCTGCCAAAGAAAAAAAATCATCTCTCCCAACTCATCTTCCTGATTTCTGTTAGAAGATACAACAGCTCCAAAGTAGGTGAGAGCTCTCATAATCCATGGCCCCTTGGCCTGAAAACTGTATATACATGTAGGAAAGGTGTTCTTACCCAGAATAACGCAAGCTATAGATGAAGTATGTGTGAATACTGTTGTGTAACATGATTGTATGTGTATACTCTGCAAAGTGCATTTTGGAGGTAGCTGAGAATAGTAATGTATAGGATTCAAAGTAATTTGGTACGTTAAAGCATGTAGGAAGGGCACAGAAAAAACAAAGGAAGATACAGATTAAAGCGGAAAAAAAGGGAAGAGAATAGATGTGGAGACAGCTGAAAGTATGACAGGTGTGACAGGCAGGATCCAGTAGCACAAATCCAAATAGTTTATATGAAGATGGAAAAACGCCTGTCTGGCATTGTACCTTTAGTGTTTCTCCATAATGATGTTATAGTGCTTTTTGTATTCTCAGTGTAAATGAAGCCCTGAAGTGCTGATTCCACCCCCCGCTCCGTGTAAGATGTCCTTTACGCTGTGATGAGATCACCACTGTATTAGTTAATTTTAATCTTTTCAGAAAGAATCCAGGAACTGTGGTGAGGTCATGACTGCAGTAATGTCTAAAAGGATGGTTTTACCGAGGAAAGGAGAATTTTCCCTCTCATTTAGCAAAACTGTAAGCGAATTTGTGGCTCTCAAGTGTGTTGGACAAGTTAAGGTTTGTTTATTTTTGTCTCTTGCGTGTTTTTGCAAAAGACAGCCTGCTTCCTACTCATTTTTTTCTAAGCATTGCATAAATCCAACAAAGCTTGCAGACAAAGCACCCTGCTAGAGCAGTGCTCCATTTGAGCAATCATCTAGAAACATCTTTACCCATGGTATCTCCCCAGTCATACAGTCAAGAGGTGGGTAGAAAAGTCAGGCTCCTGTGATGACCTGAATGCCCTCACATTAGACCTTCTGTATCATTCAGAAGGCAGATGTCTCACTGAGAACGTCCTAGTTCCCATCTCTTTCAAGGAGAAAAACCCAGGGCCACGGTATCACTATTAAATATGACGTATTTGTGCCTCATCGATCAGTGGAGTGGTGCCAGGCATGAGTTTGGACTGTGACATTTCAGGCAATGACAGTGTCTCCGAAGTGCCAAACTTTCACTGTGATTCTGATTTCACCTCGTCTGTTTCCACTCTCTGTTTGCTAAGTGAAGTGGCAAGATGTAATGATACAATTCTGAAAGGTCTCTGGATGGATTTAGTACTGAAAAGAAATAAGTAGACAGATGGAATCGTATGCCTTGTTTTACCATGGCCAATGTATTGTATTTTAATGTGTTCTAATGAACTTAAAAATTACTCCCTGGTGTGCCTGCTGCTTGGGTCAGAGGGGTTATTTTAAGTTTGCCATCTTCTTGGGTTCTTGAGATAATTCCCTCTGGATTTGTTGGGTCAACAGCAAAGTGGGGATAACAAACATGCTGCTGCTTTAATCCAGTGCTGTGCTTTCTCCCTCTTTGCGATGTGGATTTGTGCATCCTAACAGATAGGCTGCTCCTAATTTAACAACTTTGGGGCATTAGTGACATGCAGCATAAAACCAGTTCCTCTTTCATACCTAGAGACCAAACATCCCTGATGAGCTGTGTGACACAGCAGATGCTGCAGGTTTGGTTTTGCTCAAAGAGTTTAAGAGCTTTAGTTACCCAGAGAGGAGGGGGAGATTAATGGCATTAATTGATAGTGGTAGGGAACTGGGGGCTGTAAATCCCATTGCAAGCAAAGAGGAGCCCACCTCTACATACTACTAATATACGTAACTATAGATAGCCTTCCTATTTAAGAAGGCTAATTAATAATGGTTAGTGGTCTGGATTTCTAAGTATGAATTGTCAGGGATTTCAGTGGGCTCAGTGAGGTGGGGAAATGGGTTAACGTTGCATTGTTTAAAATTACAGGGGTTTAAAATTGTTTAAAATCATAAGCAGATAGGGTTTCCACACCAGATTTGAGACATTTGTTCTCTTTTATTTGTACTAAAATTTCGGCTTGAGCTCACATTGTCGTTTTACCCAGACTGCTTCGCAGATGAGCTAATTTGTCTACCTGTGTTCCATTTTAGGCCTTAGTTTTAATTTGAGGATGATTCCTGCTAATACCAAAGACTGGATAGGACATCCATTAAAAGTCTACACAGCAATTGAAATGGAAAATTCCAAAAGAAACCCTATTAGAGTTTTTCTCCATCAAATCAACATTACAGACTTCTTATGCATTTCTTAATTAGACATTGATATTAACTGGACTGTTGCATGATTTAGATCTAGCTCTTAATCTCAGCTATTCTATGCTGCTGTAGTTTTTATGACATCCAACTAGCGACTGCTTTATGCATTAATCTATCTGGAAAACCACCTTCACATTTTTTTGTCTTTTTTTAGAAGAATAAAGGCCCCAAGAAGGAAATGAAAGCTTTTGGGTTCAACCATTAGTAATTTTCTGCTTAGTATTTGAAAAATTGCTTATTTTAATTGCTTCATAGAAGAAAAAGATATCAAAGCTAACGTTCTTTCTCTCCAAACTTTGTAATTATTTCTCTCAGACTCTTATTTGAAATGCCTTGAAAGGATTTTCATTGAAATGTAGATTTCTTCTCTTTCAAAAGTACTTTTATTCCCCCGTGCTTCTTTCCCTTTTTTTTCTAGTGACTTCCTCTCTAGATTTAGAGCAAAATACATAGACTCCAGCCTCTGGACACTGTAGCATATGTCACACAGATATCTCTTAAATGCCATCTTCTTTAAAACTAACCTTCCCATGACCTGGAGACTGTGCTGACCATTCACCACCATAGGTCCTACATGGACTGGTATCCTCAGGCTTCCTCCATGGGCAATGAAGAAGAGTTGTAGGTGTTACAGGGTTTTGCTAAATCAGTCCTACTTGTTCTGAAAATCGCTGTGTGATTTGCTTCTTAATATCACTACCAGAATTGGGAAAACCTAATGGAAAAGTTTCATAAATATTAATGAGCACGTCAGTGAACAGAAGTTTGGGGCTTGTGATAAAGTCTAGGGAACAGGTGAGTTTTGTATAGTTTCAGGTTCTGTTTCCAGCAGTATAAATCCCGAATAATCCAGGAAGGAATTTTCTCACCAAATCCTGTAGTTAGATCTGCATTGCATTTAAACATCAGTAGCACAAAGCTTCAGGATCGTGTTGGCCTCATCAGTAATTCTTGATACCAGTATAGTAATAGTAGCAAGAAGTTCTTTATTTCACCTATATGTTTTCAGGGAACATTATTTACTCATAGATTATGATCTGGTCAAAATGATCTATACATTCATTACACCTAGAGTGGGCTTTCATAACTCATGGTATCTAAGAATGAGGCAAAACTCACATTTGTTTATAGTGCAGCAATTCTGCTCAGCAAAAAAAAGGCGCAGAGAAAATACTGTCCTAAGCACCTTGTGATCTGCTCTGAGTCCCAGGTGATTTCTCATGCCAGCTCAAAAACATGTTTAAGAGCCTCAGAAGAGCATGGAGCTGGCTACCTCGGAGACTCCTCAAAATATAGCTGTTCTCTCTGCAAATAAGTGGCCCCACAAGCCTAGTGCGGTCATGGCTAAGGTTATCTCGTAGGAGGAATCTTCAGAGTGGAACAAAACATTTTGAGAAGCGAAGATTGAAACGAAGCTAACGCATTCTCAGTATCAGATTTTACACGCATTTTTTTGCAATAACACAAAAGGAAAAAAGCGAACGAGAAAATGAGTTAGAGGAAGATGGAGAGAGAGATGGTCTATTAAGCAAAGCTACCTTTTTACTCTCTGAATTTACAGTCCTGATAGATATCTTTATTCAAAATTACTCATTTTTTTATATTCAGATACTACAGTTTTCAATACTAGGTCCTAGATTTGTATGGACAGATTACCCTCTTATTCCCACAATGAAACTTAATTATCCTTTTTATATCTTCAGATACTTTTCAGTCATTTCCTGAACTGTTTCTGAGGACAGAGAGCAGTTGATGGGTCAGTCAGTAAAGCAAGTTCTGTGCATCCCTGGTGGTCACACGTTTTTGAAGGCAGAAGCCCTTTGGCCCCAGGCCTCCTTAGAAAGATTTTGAGCACTAGCACAAGTATTTTCCTCGGATCTATTTTTGTTGGGCATTTTTTTTGACTATGCAGAGACTCACCATTTTCTCAGCACCTTTCTGTGTATTACTTGGAAGCATCTAAATATGAGTAACTCACCTGGAATCTGTGGAAGGGTATTTGAATGATTCATCTCTGAGACAAGAATAACCCCACATGAAATCCAGGCTGGAAATGACTGCATGGTTTAAAACACGCCTTCCTGTACCACTGCTGTTGCAGCAGGAAGGAATGCGTCTGGGCAGTTAAAGTCCAAATGACTAAATAAATTGTTTCAAAGCAGCAGCAGTAGCACAGAGGATCATAGAAGTTGCTGCTATTGAGTTGTTACTAGAATTCGGGACACTTCATTGATTTCATCTGTAAAGAAACCTATAACACAGATTATGTGTTATCACTACAGTCTGTGTCTGACCAAAACTACCAAAGAGTAAAGTACTAGTTAAAGTAGAAATGTTGCATAAGGTAACCCAAGACTTGCAAGTAATAAAGAGAAGATTATCATGGATATTCTTTCAGTCTTTGAAAGTTATTTTTAAACTCTTATTATTTTTGTAAAAATTATTATTTTTGTCTCGGTTATTCCAGTAAGAAAGTAGATAAGTGTTACAATAAATTAAAATAAAAATAGGCTTAAGAAAATCACCCAATTCATCAGAAAGCAGAGAGATAGCACGACCAATGTGTGTTATAGAATGTTTTGTGAATGAAATGCTAACTCTCAAAGGGCTGACCTGGTAAAATAATTTTAATATATCAATTGAGCAGGTGTTGCTATGGTACACAGGCATGCTTTATGGGATTGAACAAATAGTGGTTAGACACAGTTTCACAACTAGGCTGGGTTTAACAAGTGTCGTATGGACTTTAAAAGTTGTATAAAATCCAAATTGAACAAAAATCCACTTACCTTGGGACAGTATTCATATTCTAGTCACATATCTGCAAGAAAGTTGCTTCCTCCAAATCCATCTTGTGACCCCAGCCTGAAAGCAGAAAAGGGGATGGCACAGCATCACTGAGACCACGTAGTCAGTCACACCACGACCAGAAATTAAGATGGCACTGCAGAATAAAACACAAGTTTCTCTGTCACACCCACCCTACATTTTTTCCTGATGAGTTTATCACTCTTAATAATCTCCACTAGCCTGAGAGAACAGATAATCTGTTTTCTATAAATACAATAAATAGTGCTTCAAAAGACATGACATTTATTCAATTCATCATTTCAATGATTCAAAATAAACGTAAGAAGAAAAGATGTCTAAAGCAACCAGCAGCAGGATCTCTGGGTAGAACATCTCAGGTTGAATCCCCATTTTTGCTGCTGACGGGTTCTGCCATCTTAGACCTGTCTCTTCAACCTTAAGCCCAGGTCTGCCTCCATAAAGCAGATAGGTAGGACCTTGTATAGGGGTCGTACAGTAGAGTGAGTGTACAACCTGTACGGTGCAAGGCAATAAACTAGGTTCTGATCTCATCTGTGCCCTTGCTCCATGTGACTGGAAAACGAGTGATAAAAAATAATAATAAGCGCTGAATAATTATGTATTGTCTTTATAGCGAAGCAGGCCTTGAGGACTGTGGGCTCTCAACTGGGAGAAGTCCCATTTAAAAAATCTCCCTGGCATAAAAATGAATCAGATCCTGTCACATGAATGGCCTGCGTTTACTATTCTTTTCGCTTACCTTCGAGTTGTACATTTTCTCCGTTGACTTGTGCTTGTTCCCTGGTTGTCAACAGGAACTGGGGAACAAGGACTTGTTGGAAATGGAGTATTAAATAAACAAACAAACAAACACACACACACATATACAGAAAGAACTGTTGACTCAGCAGATGCACTGTTACACCATTACACCCATGTAAAACCATCAAACAACAAATGCAACTTCTGAACATCTCGTGGTTCACATCACAAACAGCAAGGCAGGAAAGTGAAAGAGGATTTTGAGCAGTGCTAATGAATTTGGATTTTGAGATCATAAGAAATTCAGGATGGGCCCAGGTTGGATACTTGGTCTGTCTGAGCAGCATATGCTCATCCTGTAACCATTGCAGCATTAAATACTGCATCCATCATCTGTAAAAAGGCAGCACTTGGACTACCCTGATAGCAAGGACCACTCCGCTATAGCCAAGAGAATCAGTCAGCATCTCAGCTCTAGGACATTGAAAATGTTTGGGAAGTTCAGGAGAATGCTTCTCTCCTCCAACAGTGCTCTCTAAGTGAAGGGCTGCTTGTTTCACCTGGGAGACAGGGAGGACACGTGCTGCCTAGACTGAAGTTCTTATTAAAACTCATACCTGCTGCGTTGGGCATGTCCCAAGTATGGGGCATCTCCCCCAGGGAGAGGGAGCAAAACAGAACAGGGCAGAGGCAGAAACACCACGAGTAACCTAATGGATGTTTTGGTGGGAAGAAGGGGAGCTTAATTAAAGGAAAAATCTGCTGGTCATTAAGTGTCCTGGAGCAACTATTGCGACACTGAAGCAGTGAGTTTCCATGTGGCTTTAAGACATCTGCCCTAAGGAAGTATTTGCAAGCGAAACTGCATCCTCTTTTTCTTAACTCTCCAATTCCCATGGGCCAGCAGTTGCCTTGCTAAATGAAATGCTTCTTTAGGGAGACCCGGTGGCCCCAGGGATTGGTAATGCAATATAGTGCCTTTCATCTCTCACCCATGAACCCAAGTCAAACAGAGTTTGGTAAATGGCCAATAACCCTTACCATCTCAGGGGCTGTTTGGTGACCTGTGCGAAATGAGGAGGGTCATCTCCGTGTCTGTTTACTAGAAGGCAAGTGTCAGCTTCACCATAAAAAGGGACACGGTTACTACTCATTATCACCCAATTTAACATTCTTAAGCCAAGAGAATGAGCCCGGAAAACTCAGCCATCTTCTTACCCGACGGCGGTGGTCCCAGTACATCAGGGCTTGAAGTACATTAATGAGGACAGTTGCATTGTAGCAAACCAGGCTGTGCCTCTCCTGCAGACAAGAAATCCAAGGCAGAACTGCTCACAGCAGCATGTGATTGCCGTTCTCCCCAGATCAGTGGAAATTCCTGGGAAGAATGGTCTCATTTTCAGGTGCAGCAGTCACTGAAGCGTGGTTATGAAGTTACAGAAAGCTGCAAAACTTCTGCAAATCTGCATTTAGGGTCTTAAGTAGACACAGCATCCAGCACTGACAGCGTTAATGTGCTAAGAAATCCTTCACTGGAAGGCTCTGTTCCCTCACCCATCCTGAATATATTGTTCTGGTTACCAAAATAGCTGTGTTTGGAAGGGTTGAAGGCCAGAAGCTCACTGCGGTACCCATTCTTGCCCTGTGCACTGCTCATTTTAAGGTCAGACCTTTAGCATCAGGAACCTGTTACAAGAAAGAGGAATCACTTTAAAAGTCGTTGCCACTCTGGGGGTTTCCCTGGAAGGTCCGAGGGGGAAAGGGAAGGGCAGGGGCAGATAAACACTTGGCCACATGAAAAATCAACTGCCTCTAAATTTCAATAGATCTGCATAAATCTCTGAAATCCACCCAAAACTCCAGTCAGCTTGTTCTTACTCACAAAGTTCCTAGTCACCAATATCATTTTCTAGCCCTTGTATGCCACAGCAGTGATAACATTGTTGCCGTCAACTTTGAGTTACTGTTTAATCCCCACTATCTTGATTAATTGCATTAAATCGGTATACCCGTGCTAATTAAACAGAAGATGGCAGAGGCAGCTTTTACTTCTTATTCTGTTGTGTAGATCATTTCCCAGGGCTTCACAAGTTGTGGAAAAATAACAATACAGACACACCACACATATTCCAGCTCAGCTGATAAAGCTGTTTTACTCATACGGTGGCCTGTGATTTTTTTCACGTATCACAGTATACGCTTAATTACCATGCTGCTGCTGCGTGGCAGCTCCCTTAGCATTTTTTTTTTTATTATTTGTATTATTTGCAAGTCGTAATCATGTTTTCCTGTCATCCCCCAGCAATGTGCGTGCGTGCGTACAGGCAAATGCCAAGCCTGAACGGAAATTTGATGCGTGTCCATGAATTGGAGTTTTCAAACTTTGGCTGAAGATTAGTACATGTAAACATAGCTCTGCCCCCTTCATCTTGGATAATTGGTCACAAATGCTACTTGACACTTCTCAAATCAGACACTTTACATACTTCTGAGCATAGCTGAACTTTTTTGGCAGGAATTAATTTGCTTTGCAACTCAGCCGCTCATTCCTGGCCCGATCCCTGCTCCAGTGATTTCAGGGCGATGTTCTGCCAGTGCGAGAAGCACAGAGGCAGGACCAGATCTGTTTTCTAGCGCTGACGAGCCTGGCTTTGTTGACTCCCTCAGAAATACAATTACTGCTGCTAATGTTCTGCCCTTCGCCAGCCTTGATCAACAGTGGGATTTTTACCTTCAGGTCCCTCTCTCTATTCCAATTACCATACAAGTTTCATTGCACCAGGGGACATCTCGTGAAAAAAGAAGAAAACAATGTCGTATCTTCAGTACCTGAAGGGACCCTACAGGAAGGCTGGGGAGAACCTGTTTAGAAAGGCCTGCAGTGACAGGACGAGGGGCAATGGCTTCAAGCTGGAGGGGAACAGATTTAGACTGGAGATGAGGAGAGGGTTCTTCACTGTGAGGGTGGTGGAGCACTGGAACAGGTTGCCCAGGGAGGTGGTTGAGGCCCCTTCCCTGGAGATATTCAAGGAGAGGCTCAACGAGGCCCTGGGCAACCTGGTCTAGTTGGGGGTGTCCCTGCTGACTGCGGGGAGGTCGGACTAGATGACCTTTGGAGGTCCCTTCCTGGCTACAGAATTCCATGCTACTAACCAGCCTCCTGTTTGCTGTGGCATCGCTGTGTGTTTACTCACCGTGCTCCGGTTCTGCAGGAGCTGAGGAGGCCATATGGTCACTCAGAAGGGCTGCCAGGTCTCGGGGTACATTACTTCCAGGAGGAGTTTGGGACAAGAACACATTCCATAAAAATCTTCACTAGAAGTAAGGTATTTTAACTGGTGATCTAGTTCTGTCCAGCCTCTGGACTAAATGGCAGTTTATCAGCATATCCATGTACATCTGTGGGTAACCAATGGGAAATATCATTCACCCTTTTTTCACTGGGATGCTGATAAGCTGCAGCACATGAAAAATATTTGTCAGTTTGTTCGTTTCAGCTATCGAGTGGGATCTGTGCCAGCGTGCCCCACTCGTGCTGGCAGCTTCATCCAGAAAATAGAGAGAAAATGGGGAAACAGTGTCAGTTCTAGAAGAGGGCAAAGGTTCACACGGATTATTTTAGCATTACTGTCTTGCTCATGGCTAACACTAAATCTGTAAGTTAGATTGAGCTCCTACCTGCAGAAGCAAAGGGTGAAACTTTGTGCTGTGCTTCAGTTACAGACCATGAGAGGAGGAAATGCTTGGTCATGTACTCACCTTGGCTTGGTTCTCAGGGCTCCATACAGTTCACGGGGTTGGTGAGGAGGAGCCAGGACAGGAATGGTTCATGTGGTGTTTCTCCAGCCTCTGGAACCTTGTGTTGTCACTGAGAGCTGAACCACTGTACAGGGACACTCAGGAACCAGCTGCATCGACCGTGTCTCTGTCCCCACCCTTTCCAGTCCTGGTCCTGTGAGGGTTCATCCCTAGAAAAGAAAGGTAGCTGATGTTACAAGAGATATGGTAGATCCACGATAGAGAAGCAAAAGTTCTTACTGCCCCTGAATTTGCCATGGAATAATGAGGGAGAGTTGGGGAACCAGCTGTATCGACCATGTCTCTGTCCCCACGCTTTCCATTCCTGGTCCTGTGGGGGTTCATCCCTAGAAAAGAAGGGTAGCTGATGTTACAAGAGATATGGCAGATCCACAGTAGAGAAGCAAAAGTCCTTACTGCCCCTGAATTTGCCATGGAATAATGCAAGATAAGACATTGTGTGTATATCTTGGGTTTTCATAGATTCTTATTTTAAATTAAACAGATGGAGATGTATCTTGCTTCCTCCTGTTTAACTGATATTGGAACCATTATGGGAGTGGTAGGTATGATATTCAGAGGTGAACAAGGCATCAATTGGCAAAAAGATGCAACATAGCTCTAAAGACTGAGCTGGGGAGGCTTAGTTTCCATTGCTATTATATATCACTATATAAATTCAGCTTTCAGGTCCTAGACATTTTTAAATAACATGTCTAGTGTTAGAATAGAAGAGTATCAGAAAACGTGAATTACAGGTTACAAGCTTGTAGTATTTGCAGTAAAAGAACTATTATTGTAATTACATCTATAGAGTATTCATTTATGTTGTTATTAGAGGAAAAGGATGGTAGAATTAGGATGTATGGAAAGAAAATCCTGCAGAAGAGGAGCCAAATAATTTAGCCAAAAAAAAAAAACCCCCCCCCCCCACCAAAAAAAAAAAAAAAAAAAAAAAAGGCAAACCCAGATTCTTGAATATTTGAAATGAGACTAAAATAAGAAAAAAATTTTTTTCAGGGTAAAGATGAACCTCCATTTTGAATCATTATTTTGTGGTTGGGACTAACTGGCCATTATGAGGACATAGCTCCATGCAGTTGTAAACCCACTGTGTTGCCTCCTGCATGTCATTACTGAAAGTGAACTGTTGCTTCGTGGCTAAAGATTTACTTGCTTAATGCCTGGTGTCATCAACAAATTCAGGCTGGCAATGACATCCTACTTGTCTAAGCGAATATACAGCGTTGCACTCTCCTTGTTTTTCTTCCCATTCAAACTTATGGCTCAGTGTTAATGTCTGCCACTAACCAGCATTACAGCTGAGGTGAATGAAGTGATGAATGAACACACAGTTTGCGTGTAGATAATTAGAAGTCTGGCTGAGTAGATCACATTATTTAATGTATCATCATTATGTTTGTATTTAAAAAGCATCTAAACTATATTATTTCTTCCATAACTCCATCTCTTCGGTGCTCTGACACCAGGGATGAATTGTGTTACACGTTTTGGTAGAGATCTGTTTTCTAAAAAATGGTGGAACCCCTTGGAGTTTAAATCATTGCTGTAACAAGTTAGTAAGTTGTCCCTACTTAAGAAAACTCTTGTGTCAGGAGTAAAACTCCTTGTTTGGCTGTGCTGCAAGAAACAAGATGATATTTAATTATGACAATTCAAACTCATCTGGTTTCTCCAACTGCAGGCTATATTGATTTACAGTACTAATATAGAAAAGGTGGAATTAAAAAGCTGGTTTATTTAGAAACTTACTTATTCCTAAAAATGTCTCTTCAGCTCATTTCTAAATTTGATTTCTTATCCTGGGTGAATTACCCTGCATTTCTGAATCTCAAGGACTGTTTCTGCATGACAACAGCTGATCAAAGTACCCACAAAGTTCAGTCATTTTGACTGTAAGATTTTTGTTTGTTGCTTTCTTGAACAATGGTGTTTCCAAAGGGGAGATTAAAAGCACCAGAGACAGAATTACAGACCATGATTACTGTATGAGACTTAATATTAGTAGAGGACCACAGTCTGTAAGATCAGTGGCAAATGAATCCAGCTTTCAGGCAGAATCAATGTCTTGTTCTGAAAAAACAGTAAGGAAAATCTGTGCCAGTGTTTCAGCATGACAAACGAACTTAGGCAAGTTGAAGATAATCATGATTATTTAATATTCCACAGTTTTACAACTCAATACTCTGTGGACCAAAGATCGGAAGGCTGCTGAGTCCAAAGTTTTGAATCTTTGGGTCAATATGCTTCTCATGTCTCCAGCATTTAGTTTAATTTAGGAGGAAACAGTTCTGAGCTAAGATAAGATCTCAAACAAAATTGACGTGGACTCACAACATGGCCTAACATAACAATTTAATCTATCCTGTGCTTCCCCTGAAAGAAGGCTTGGTAACTGTGGTATGATTTCACCTGCTGCTTCTAACATTTGCTCTTTCTTTTTTCCTGAGCAAATTTGGATTATCAGATGGCGAGTAGCTTTGTTCGTGGTAGGCAAACCTGAATTCATTTAGAATTAATAACAGTGAGTTCAATCCTGGATTCAATGGCAGTCTTAATGAATGGAGTCTTTAGAAGACAAATATTTGTTTGTCGTAAAGAGAAATAATTAATTCTTAACTTTCCTGGGCATCAGGTGATTACAGCACATATCACAAAATGTTCTCCCTACGTATCCAGCCTTGGGTGTACAGACTGCAGGAACATTCCCCAAGCCCTGGCATTGCAGATACAGCCCATTTTTGACCTTGTTATTTCAAAATCTGAAGTTTCACAATGAATTATTTGGTGTGAGGAAAAATGTGACTCTTACTCACAGTATTATCTCAGGCCCTCTTGGTGATCTGATGCTGGGGGGTAAGGAGAGAGAAAGGTCCACGTTCCTGCAATCCATCAGCAGTCGTAGGTCGAGACAGGACTACTCAGATGGAGGAATCCAGGCTGGATCTGGATTTTGGCCCGATCCTCACCACTGTCGTCTTAGACGTGGGCATCTTCCGAATTCCTGTGGGAAATCCCCATTTCTTTACTATTTTGCCTCTCTTTTGGGAAGCAACCGGAGCACACACCACCACCGTGCCCAGCGAGGGAGGAGCTGGCTGAGCCAACAGCCTGGGCTGGGCTGCCCAAAACAGAGTACCCACTGACCTCAGTAAAAATTAGCAGACTTCAGTAAATTTACCCTGCAGGCAATTTTACCCTGGAAAAACATCACCCACGTTGCTAGAGTTTAGGACAACAAATTAGAGCTTTTCAATATGCACCAGAAGCGTTTTTTTTTTTTTTTCTTCTATTTTTCTCTCCCCCTATTCCCCCCTTAACCCCCCCGAGTAACATCCAGTTGCTTAATTCCATTTGAAATCACCCGGGGTAGGCACCTAAATAATCTTGTCCTTCATGTCTGTCAACATCTTGAGGCACCTAACCACCTTTAGAGATGTGGTGTGAAAGCTTGTGAACGATGCAATCGAGGAGGGAAACAAAAGACAAGTATCCCTATTTGCTGCCCAAGAATCCACAAAGAATGCTGCTTCAGCTCTGCTCTGATTTCTAATTAGATTATGAGTGATGTAGGACTCTGAAGCCAAGCTGGAGTTTGTGCTAGCACTTTGCATGTATGAATGACAAAGGGACACCACTTTCATATTGATTTAAGCAAGCCCCTGGAAGAATGTTTAAACATCAAGTGCTTGATGCCCCAGTTTGCCAGAGCACCTGGAAATATCAAATTAATTCCAGGTGTTCTGCCATTAAGACAGGCTTGCTGCTTTTACAGCCACACACACAAAATGTGGCTCCCAGTTCCACAAATAAAAACTGAGTGGTTTCTGCTCCTAATGCCTCGATAATTCTGACATATTGCAAGTTCTGGAAAGAATTTTAATCTACATAGTTTTTTTTAAATGGGGAGGGGAGCGAGGGGGGAGGGATTTTAAATATGCTGCATACAATTTGTGATGGTCATCTCTAAAATGCAGCTCCATTATCCTTTTCCATTTGGAATGAATGAGGCTAATTAATTTCAGGCCATACTTGATGAGGTCAGCACCATACGAAGGGTGCGTGCTAGACATTGCTAATCTCTTTCAGCTGAGAGTGATGAATTAAAGATGAAGCATTCCTTTGCAGGCCTAATTTAGAATGTATATCAAAAACCTACAGCAAATAATACTATACCCTACAACAAAGGAAAACTTGTTCTCTCAGGCTCCCATGTAGGGTTGATTTTAAAGGCATTTTCATTTCACTTTGGAATTCCAGCTGTGGATGGGTGAAACAGTTCAGAAAATTCAAGCTTTCTCTCTTTCTATTGCTTTTATGGACAAAAGTAGGCAAGGGGGGGGCTAAGGGGAGAGAGAAACTAGTCGGTGTTTGATCCTGTATATTCTGTGGTTCTGACTGTACGCTCCACATTTAGGAAAGCTGCCAGGGTCTTGTGCTCCCCAAGTACCTGTGACGTGACACCACCCCCCCACCACCACGGTGCCCTCAGAAATTTTACTGTTGGGTTTTTTTTTTTAAGCCTAAGGGAAAAGCTATCAAGTGTCCCGTTTTGCTCAGCATCACCTCAAGGATGTTGCAGGTTTTTCCCCTGGGAAGCAGGACGGGTCCAGCAGTTCTGCTGGGTCAGTCGATGAGGACACAAGAGCTTCCAAGCCAACGACTGCTTTGGCAGGGAGAAACACAGAAACACCTCCCTGTACAAAAGGTTCTGTCACAGCCAGGAGCACAGGTAGCAAAATCTAAGAGAAAAAGTCACTGAGAAAGCAACTACACTGGCTCTGGAAGCAGTACAAATTGCTACAGAGCTCTCAAATTTGCTGGACTTGGGGCTCAGCCAAGTCTTGCCACCTTTCCCTTAAGGCAAAGCCCCCCCAGAAAGTCCACGGGGGTTTCCCCCTGAGCGAGGGGCTGCAGGATTTGGCCCGGTGGGCAGCAAGAAATTAACCTTAATTGTCGCTTCAGTAAAACGGGGACTGTGAAATCCTAATCCAGCCTCAGAAGGAGACTGAAAACAATAGACCACCAGCTTCCCCACCACTTTGCTCTCTGATACCTGGCAGTTTCTTGAAATTCTTGACAGGTTGCTGCAGCGAGTCGAAGTTCCCAACTGGTGGCCGTAAGCGGCTGCCGTCTTTGTATCCCAGTAGTCCTCATTAGAACAAAGCTGCTTCGAATTAAATCCAATCTACATGCCGAATCAATCTTTCAACCCTTTGATTGCTTCTGAAAATATTTATATTTCTTAATAATGCACATTTTGTCCCACAGCCTGTGATTAAACCCAGACAAGGTCCGGAGAAGCCTGAAGTATATGTGGAAGGGGTTATTTTGGACAGGAAAAGAAAGATAAAGAACACAGGTTTTTCCTATTGTGAAACCATTAGGGTGTATAAATCTAGCAATTGCAGTTGTATAAGCATCAGAGTGGGGTTGTAATAAATACAGATTGGAGTATTATAGTAACCAAATGGAGTTTATGGATTATGTTCACTAGTTCATATTTCTCAGCTACTACAATCTAACTAGCATCGTGATGCACTCAGCTCTATTAATACTCCCTATTAATATTCTCTTTACAGGTTTGTGGGGGGAAAAAAAGTTAGGCATCAACTGCTTTTCTGCATAAAACAAACACGTTTAAAGAATCATGCCCTCCAAAGAAAAAAAATAAACAAGGGGATGCTGTAAAGTGACTGTGTTAGAAGGGCACGGGCTGGGGCTGGCTGAAATAGGCTCCGTTCTGCTTAAAGTTAATAACTTCCATCTGAGTGAGAATCTGGCCCTAATGCAGGGCATTTGCTGTGTGAAAATTAGGATGTAAAAACGAAGACAATAACTGCTACTATCCCTCAGCTGGGTAAATCTTTAAGGTGGTAAATAATAAGCTCTGGCTAGAGATGAGAAACACACAAAGGCTTTGAAGCTGTGCTTTGTGGTAAATAGCATATTATTCCCTCCTCAAAAAGTAGCATACATCACAGGTAAGAAATGTGGAGATGAAGGGAAGGATACATTCCTTGGCTGAGAAGTAGCCCAGATAGGGCCTGATCCTCCAGAGTGGGAGTTTGCCGTCGATTAAGGTGGTAGCTGTGGCTGGGGACACAGATCAGATAAAGGCACTGTACCTGTCTCCCTCCCTAAACATAAATGACTGCCCTTGTCTATAATAAAAGGAAAAATTGACTTTGGAAAGCATGCCACGATAAATCTCCTTGGATAAAGTAGTAAAATGCCTGGGTGAGAGAGAAAGAAATCCTGGAAACTGAAAATATATATAATGCTTGTTTAAAATCACTGTCATCAGCAGCATCACATGGTAAATACAGCTAATGTACATTATCAGTGGGCTGGTAAATGCTTGTGATAGTTTTGCTTGTGACAGTTTCCCCTTTTACAAAGAACAGAAGGAAATATTTTCATGTAAAAACGTTATTCATTGATTCTTTCATCACATACTTCATTATATTAAGATGTAATTTCCTAAATATGTTGGGGGGGTGGTATTATTATTATACATATATCCTGAGTCTTGACAGCTATTTTGCATTAATATATGATTTGGATGTTCAGTCTTTAAGGTAGAGAGAAGGGGTTTTTATCATCACCAAAAATAAGAGGAGAGGCATGATGGAAAAAACCTTTCAAAAATAGTGACGGATCCAAAATGTAATGACATGGCATGAAAATCCATTTTGGATCAGGCCCCCAGCAGAACGTTGTGTTGTATGACCAGTATTTTCTGAATATCTTCTATTGTTTGACAACCCTGATTTCACACTAAACTTGGGAGTTCGTTTCCGAACAGAAGCTTTTTGTATAGAAACTTTAAATCATATCCCTTCGTGAACACACACATACCATAGAGGATATTGTCTTATTAAAGAGTTTAAGCCTAAAGGTGTATGCCTATTTTTAAAAGAAATTTTCTGATTGTAGATAACTGCTCAATTTGATTTAGTGTCCAATGATAGTGATGGGGTTGATAACTGAGCATTCATCGGTAATTCATCTTGTGCTAGTAGAAATTTACAGCAAAGCAGTGCTTTCCCAACACTGACAAGTCCTATTAATCTTCTTCAGACACATTTCAATAGGTGTCTCCATCTGTGCCCAACATCTAAACACTCTGGCATCACTAGGGACTTGGAGACACCTTCATTTCAGGTTACACTAGTGAAAATGTGATACTAGATTGTACTCTATTTTTAACCTAATTCTCTCTTTTCATTCAATTAGCCTTTCTTGCCTGCATTTTTCTACTCATGTGTAACATCCTTTTCCCAGGAAGAGCTTAAAAAATGAGATTTAGTTGCTTAAAGAGACAGAATCTGCCAGGGCAAGAACGACCGAGAGCTTAATACATAAAAGCAGCAAAAAAGCTCGCGTGTGCGACGTGGAGATCAAACCACCAGCCCCAAAACACGTCCCGTGTAGAATGCCCACGGTATGCCCCTCCTGGTGCACCTCTGGCAGGCATTGTTGGGTCGGGACAAGTCTGAAACGAAACACCCCACCTCCCGCTTTCCAAATTTTAAAACAGTTGTGGAGGGGTTTTTTTTTGGGGGGGTTGAAATCCAGCCGGTACCAAAACACCTCTGTTTGTTCAGGCTGCACGGGGGGATCACGGCCATACATCCCCGCTTTGCTTTCCGTCTACGGCTTAATGCGTGAGCAAACACGGCACCGACAAATTACAGCAAGAACATTTCGGGGCGGATTACGGCCCAACTTCCTCGCTTATTATTAAAAGCAAGTAAATTGCAAAGCGCATGGAAGAGGTAGGGTGCAAACGCGGGCGAGTTTCCACTCGGAACCAAATGTTGTTTTTTCACTTTCAAAGCTGCGATGGGCTCGCTAGCAGACGCAGCACAGCTTTAAAGCTTACTCATTCAAAAATGTGTGTTTGGGTTCTTCTTTTTTTTTTTTTCCCCTCTCCTCACTCCCGTTTCTGTTTGCCTTTCAAAGAGGAGCAGATGCGCACCGTTTGGGTTGGGGTGGCTCCGAACTTGCTCCAAACTTTCTTCTGAAAAGAGCAAACCACGAGCCGTGCGTCTGCTCCCGCAGCGCGGAGGCCGTTTCAAACTTTGCTTCTGCCTTTTATGAAGTTCTCTCGCCAATCGTATTATAGATCTAAATGACCTTATTGTAGGTGGCAAGTTTAAATGTGCCATATTAATAACTTGTTATCCAAGACAAATTAAGTCCTTATGTGTCAAAAGCACTCTGCTCTGGATTACCTACAAGACAAGTATTTATTGAATAAACGTTGGATCCAATTTCATTTTAATGTGACTGACTGTATGCTTCAGTCCCTTAGAATGAGATAAAAACACTCAAACCTATAACTGTATTGCAACATTACACCTAACTTGTCTATTTCTATTATTGTCTTTTTAATGTGGGATATCAAAAATGTTTGGGTTTTTTTAAGGAATTATTATTGTTATTGGTGTTGCTATTATTGTTTACTATTATTATTATTATTATTATTATTAGGAGCAAGGAGAGAGAGGAAAAAAAGACTGGCATTCAGCCTAAAGAGAAATCATTGAAACAAATTAATCCTATGCCGTTTAAATTGACATGGTAATCCATCATCAGCAAAGGGAAACTCTGAAAGCAATCTAGAATCTGCAGTGTTCTTTCACTGGCCCTCAGGCACAAAGACAGATAGTAAAAGAGGAAGAGAGAGAGAGAAAAAAAAAAAAAAATCATAAAAGTTAGCAGTTCCTTAGCAAAGGGAAGGGCTGGAGAGAGCAGCTTTCACTTTTTCCTGCTTTCAACCGTCCAGTTCAGAGAGCGATGCTGATTAACCTTCAGCCGCTGCCTACTAACGTTTACTTCTGTTATGGCAAATCATCTTCGGCTGCTGAGATAGGAGTGATTTCAAATAGTGCAGAGCCCCCATCCTATATAAACTCCACCATTGAAAACTCTGCCAAACATCAACTTGGGCATTTTCTGCTTACAGAGGGCCTTTTATTAGCCTAAACTTGATCGTTCCAAATGGACAATAAATTCTATCTTCGCAGCCCCGGCGAAAAGAGCTGTGCTATCCTTGGGAGTTTAATAGCCAGGATTTTCATAGAGCTAGCTTCTAGGAAAAAAAAAAAAAAAATTTGGGGGGGGTTATTTGGATTTGGGTTTGGGGTATGGTTTTTTGTCTATTCCCTGCTTTCTCAGCAGGGCTGTCCACTATAACGTATGTTTCCCAAGGGTTTTTTCAATCTAGTTTTAAATATCTAAAGTGATGAGACTTGGTGCACCTTTAAAATTTTATTATACTCGTGGTCAGAAGAAAACATAAACCTCTCGGGCCTTGAAAGCCCATTGCAATACAGCCATTATCCCTGTAATGTCAACAGAGCTACAAAACTCTCTAGAAATAAACCTTTTAAGAACAGCTTTCTCTGCCTCATGTTTTCTTTTAAGGTCAGTGGTGCATCACTTTTTGGAAAACGTTTCCCCTCTCTGGCCAGGTTTAGCAATCTGAAATAGAATGTATATTACTAAATGAATAGGTTTAATTTTAGACGCTGAAAAAACAAATAGAAGAAGAGAGCCAGGGGCAGGAATAATGCCTTTCAGTTAGAAACAGACATAGTAGAAAGAAAAAGTCAGAACTTTAGTGCCAGGGGCAAAGGGGTGAAAGGCTGGCTAATATGAACCATATCCAACATCTGCCCTATTTTAATTTAGCAGGGATAAAGTTTCTTCTTTTTTATTATTAAGAAAACTTTATGTGGCAGAGAAACCCATGAGCTGTGTTATCAAAACTGTTTTATTGTCACACTGAAACTTAGAACTATTAAGAGTTGGCGGGGCAAAGAGATAAAAACTCCCCTTCTCTCTCCTTTTATACTCTGTGACAAGCCTGGGCTCGGGTCCTGCTGTCTGGGATGTCCTTTTCATGTCTTTATGAAGTACTGCACTTGGGGCTGTAATATAAAGGAGAGGTTAATTGTTCAGGATGGGTCCAAATGATTGATTCTCCAGGTTTAATAAATAAATAAATAAATGAATGAATTTTTAAAATCCGAAGATTTAAAACAAAATACTGCTGCGGAGACGTTCACAGTAGTTGCCCTCAGAGATGAGTGATGGTGACGGTGCACAACAAGTGTAAAGCAGGGCTGGACTGGGGAGCTGCATGAGAAACAGCCCAAATTGCCAGGCTGGAACATAATCTCGCTCTACCTAAATGTTTTCCACCTCAACAGTGCAAATTCTGCTATAAAATGTAGCAAAGTGTACTAAAACACATGTGAGTAGCTGTAGGAGTAAAAGAGCAAATTGGTTTCTGACAAAAGAAGGATGAATACCTTTGGATAAGCTAAAGTTAGAATTTGATTGAAAGCATAACATTCCTTTAAGCATCAATATGCTTACGATCCAAAATATGGTTATTTTATTACCAGTTAATACTAAGATCAAAGCAAAACGCTGTAGCTGGAAGGGATGTTCTCTCTGGAAATAAAGTTCCATGTAATTATTTCCTATTAAAAACTAAAACTGGTCTTAGATTCAAAAATTTGTGCTTCCTTACATGTCATATAATGCAAGCTTGTCAAGAGAGAGCAGACGTGCTGTTTTTCACTGGTCGCTGGTACCCTTTTGCTTTAAAGTTTTCAGTTGAGCTTTAACCCTTTGAATGTGAAAAATTCTCATCCGATTTACCTCCGTCAAACACAGGGGATTATTTTGGATGATATTGGTTAATTTCTTAGAAACCGCAATGAGATTTTTATATAAACCAGCACCATTTTAAATAAAGGCTCCAAACATAAGGAGGTATATAAATATAAAGAAAGTGACGTGGTGATTGATAAGCAATTGAAACTTAAAACTTAAATTGCAAAAAAATATCATTCTATTGGGTAAAACAGCCTGTCTTAATTCCATTCGGGACACAGAGTTTAAAATATGCACTCAAAATATTTCCAAGAAAGCTGCAACCTTTCAGAGGAAAGAGATAAGAATGTATTTTAATTATGAGGTTATAAATATGCGACGTTGTTGTTTTTTTGCCATCCCCTAATGTGGTACATAACATTGTTCAGATGCAGTGATATATCTATCTGTCTGACTCTATTCCTGTCCAGGGTTTTGTTTCTATTTTGCTTTTTTTTTTTTCCCCCCAATAGTTTAATGCCTATTTATGTCATCTCTGAGGAAGGCCCTGGAAAGAAAGGGATCTGTCTTTCTGCATTTATAAACGACCGCAGAATAAATAAGAAGTGGTTCCTTTTTACAGCCGATGGGTAGTATTATAAGTAGCAATTTGAGATATTTAGCCACGTTATTTCAACTTTCTGATTCTGCTAATTATTTTTGATCTGTCACTCAGAAATAAAAAAAAAAAACTTTAAAGTGTTCATTAGGACTGCAGAAAGGAAGAGGAGTCAGATATAAGGCAGCAATTATAAGTTGGTTTTAACTTTTTTTTTTTTTTGCTGACTCCTCAGCTACATTGTTTAGTAGAAGGGTGGCTACAATATAATTCTATATTAAGAGCTTGTTAAATAGGGAAGGAGCTGAGACGTTCAGCTGGGATATTGTTTGCTAGCTCAATTAGCATCCAAAGAATTTGAAAGTACAATAAATGTATCTGAAGATCATATCTAAACATACTTACCAAAAAGTACCCACCTCTCTCAGCAGTTCACATATTTCTGCCTTCTGACTGGGAGGAAAAAAAAAAAGAAAAAAAAAAAAGGCAGTTCAGATGTATAGGTTAAGATTGGCGTATGGCAAGGTTTGTGTGAAATACAAAGAAACCTGTATTTCACTCAACAATTTCATTGCTTAAACATATAGTTTAGAAGCATCTTTTCCTTAAACATGTGGTTCAATAGCATTTTCTTCAAAGGAACAATTCAATGTGTTAAAAGATTTAAGAACAAAGAATGTGCTGCAAAATGCAAATTCTTACAGTGTTATACTGTGTATGCAATTATGTATGTAGGCAGATAGATATAATTTGAGAGTTATTAACTTTCAACATCAATGATGTACTCTGAATCAATACAATGTAACTACCTATTAAAATATAAACCAGGTGTGTTACCAGGCAAATACAGTCTGAGAAGCTTTTCTGGATTATTTTTTTTTTTCTTTCAAGATTACAGCTCTGCTATGGACAAGAAGCTGAAGAGATTGCTGCTGGTCCTAAAGATGGAGGTTGCTTTGCTTTTTGCCATATCTGACGTTTCTAGAATGTTTCATTTCCTCCAGGTTTGGAAAAAAAAAAAAAAAAAAAAAAAAAATAAACCAACCTCTGAAATGGTGTAAAGGGAATGAGTTGTCTCACAAATATCCCTACATTTATGCACCTCCCGGTGCATGGGGAAGAGAAAAGTTCCTTTTCCATTTCCATTTTGCCTTTGGCTCAAGGGAGGGGAATGAAGGGAGCAGAAATCATTTTAAGCCTCCCCCCCTCTCCCTCGTCGGATCGACCCCTCTTGCAAATCCCTTTCTTCTTGCCCTCCCTCCCCCCAAAACGCAGAGCCTGGCGCAGTTAACCTTGGAGCGGCGCTGGGGAGGGAAGGGTTAATGAAACCAAGCTCTTTACGACCTCCAGGGTCAGACTCTTCCTATCTGCAATCTAAGGAATTAGGTAAGGAGGTTATAAGATTATAGTGAAAGGAGTTATAGGCCCTCGTAGCCTCACACCTGAACATATTGGGCTAATCCACTGGGATTCTTAAAAATCGCTTCAGCTATGGAAAACTGTTAATTAGGCTGAGTCTATCCCGAGGTTTCCTGTTGCATTAGTGATCCAGCCGAGCTGCCTGCGCTCTATAGGCTCACATGAAATGCGCTTAATATGCCTATATTTCTTCTCCCCCACACCCCCCCCCCCACACGCCTTTTTCCACAACTAAAACCAGCATCAGACACCGATTTCGGGAGAAAGCAAACTTTGGGTGAAATTCAGCCCGAGAGATGACCAAAAAGTCATTCCCCCCCCCCCACCTCGCCCCCTTTGCCCTGGGTGCCCGGCAGGCTATTTGCAGCTGTTTCTAACTTCAGTGTTTGTTTACAGTAGCAAAATTAGCACTTGGAGGAGAAGTGAAAAGCTGTTTTCACATCAAGTTTTACTTCTCGGTTCCTAGCTTTAGATGTCTTTCCTCCCTCCCAGCCGTCAGCATCATTTAAAAGTGCGGCTCAAAAACTTTTCTCTGGCTTCTTTTGACTCAGTTCTCCGCGGTCGCATCCCAATTTCCTGGCTGGAGAAAAAATAACGCAGAGAGAAGGTAGCGTTTGAACGCGGCCCAAACAGCCGGGATTCGAGGCGAAAAGGGGAAAAAAAAAATAAAAAATAATAATAAATCCCCGAGCATCCCTAAAGGACATATTTTAACGTCGCCCTGCCCTGCTCCCAGCTTTCTGCCCTTTGCCACTTAGCCATTTGCTTGTCTCCAGCAAAGCTTCCTTTAATCCGCCGAGACACCCCAGGGCTGTACCTGAGCCACGGCCGATCTTCTCCCTCCCACCAAAAAAACCCTGCAGCACCAGCCCCCCCCAACTCCCATCCTTAAAGCCCGGCTCGGTTTTAGCCCTTCTGTCATTTGCAGAAATGCTGAATTTTATTTTTTATGTCATTTGTGGTCACCCTCGACTTGGCAGTAATCTGTAGATTACATATTACGAGCCTTGTCATTACGTGGCTAAAATGAGGTGGTTAAACGCTAAAATCCATTTTACTCACCACATTTGCTTGGGGGTGGGGGGGGTTAGGAG